AAAATAATACATGCTCGTACAATCAAGTGTAGGAACTCAACGATACCATATTCGGCCAGCCCGTGTTCTAAGTGACAGAGACAACGTTAAGCGCGAAACTTATGACTCGCTTTGTTGTTAATAACATAATTTTGGCCGTTTTATTTCTCTCTTATTTGTATTCTATGGTGAACACCTTCTTAAACATACTTAGCTACTTAAATTATTAACAATGGCTTACTTTTTTGTACTTCACTCTATTCCTTCTTTTGTGTATCTTCTGGTTCCGACTATATTAGCACTATGAGTATCACAAAATTGTCCTGTCATTAACCTTCATGTAATATTAGTTTTGTGGTTGTTTTTGTTCAGCAACATTAACTGACAATCTTGGTTGTGAATGCCATTATTACCATCTTAAAAATTCTGTATTATGCAGGATTACTCACACTACCACTACAAACACCACGTCAGAGCTGACAATAAAAACCCCTGAAATGTTTATTTTATTATTGTTGAGTGTTGTTCAATCAAATTATCTGATCACGCGATAAACATTCTTAATGTCATTTCATAACTTCTTGTATGATTATAGCTGTTACTGTTCACCACGCATACACATATCATAGCTTCCACTACGCAACACTGAGATATTATTTATTGTGTTGTTTATTTTCTATTCTACTTCTTGGTATTTTTTCGCATTTTTTTGTTGTTTTTTTAATATTTATTTTTTGTAATACTCCTTTTAAGTGTGCGATGAAATTAGATGCAATATTGTAGATAAGTGCTGAAAATTCCACACTGTACCACTAGTACTATTTCTGGAATAAAGCAAATTATTATTATTAAAAAAACTGGGACCTGATCCAATAAAAATAATTTTTTCTTCACGTTCCCCAGTGGAACATGGGGCTTCAAGCTAGTAGCTTGAAGTTTCTGTAGCAGTGTTTATTTTACAGAATGGGGTTGCTAGCCTCATGCCCAACCTTTCCTCTTTACCAGCATTATTTCTGGCTTAACGAGGTAAAGGAGTGCGTCGGTCGGTGCTTGAACCCCGGACCATGTGCATGGTTGGCGAGCGTCCTAACCGCTATACCACCGACCTGATCCAATGGCCCATGAATTCCAATTGATGTCAGCTCATGTTGAAATCCTCCAACCAGTTTCACGAAACATTTCTGAGTTTTCAAAGTCTATTCCTTAAAATACCCTAAAGAACAATAGAGACCATCACTTTCCAACATTATTTCAATAAATACGTGAGTTCATACATATAACGAAATCTTAGGAAAGGGCATACAAGAACAGTTACAGATAAACTGTAGCCATTTCAACCCCATGTTTACAGTGAAGAAAGAAAACCTGTAGAATTTGCATAGGAAATCAATACTAAATTCAATCAATCTACTTTTCACTGCTTACTTTCGTAATAATGAATCCATCTTGACGACCAGCCATTGTGTACTTTGGAGCTGTGACAATATCACTTTGCGTTGAAGGCGGAGGCAAAGAATACGCATTTGGAGCTATGTTCAAATTCAAATAATAAAAAATTCATTGATTACATCTATGGATGAATAGTGATAATAACATGAATGTTCAATTTTTCATGTATTTTCATGAATTTTCATCTATGTTGACTTGAAATAAGAGCTGTAACACTATGCTGAGATGTTTCCTCTAGAATAAAATTAGGTCGTTGGGTATGTGCTTTTGAATGACAATGGAAACAGACAGCGTAAGACTGTTAGCCAGTCTCCAAGCTATCGTAGTCAGATTTATAGACTCTTGTAACGGTTCACCGAATTATACATACACACATTACCTGTGAATGAACCTTTAAAGTAATTCAAATTGTTCAATTGAGAGAAGACAAGTAAAATCTGTTAAAAGCTTTGGAAATTTTCACAAAGGAGAGTACATATTTCCCTCAAGAATCTTTCTGTCAACCTATATAAAGCTGAGGAATTTAAACGTTCTCACTGATGTCTCTAAAACAATCTGAAATGAATGATTAACGGTTATACAACCAAAAGTCAAACACTGTAGTATCAAAACCTTTCGATAATATTCGAAACTTTCAGTTACAGGTTAATTTTCAACTCATCTGTAGAATTCCTGAGAAATAACAAGAATAGCTCTACGATATGGGATGGGAATATCATGTGTAGTATTTAAATCAAGCAACAAACGTTTCGAGAAGGTATTCTTAGAGCGAGAGTCATTTCACTGTACGATTTCCAGTTCATTGAAACTAAATGTTCATAACAGTAAACAGTGTCCACCACTCCGGAACAACAAGGTGATACATTGTAGGAATGTCATGAACAGAAATGATGACAGTTGGTGAAGACTATATCATAAGAGGACGAGTAAGCGCTAAAATGATGATACTCAGGTCAAAGATAAAATTCGCAGAATTAGCAGCTTCCAAAAACTGTCAGTATTATCATCAAATCGGCAACCTAGGCGGTACTGTCATAAATTCACCCATTCTGATGCAAAAACTGTAGAATAAGCGCGTTGCACAGTCTCATGAGCATTAAATTTTCGAGATTTCTTTCTGTGTTGACTAATCATGATTGAATATTGCAAGTCAAGTTGTTATTAACCCATTTAAACCCTTATAATAATAATAATTTATATTTCGTGTAAACTGGTGTTTACAAAAAATGCATGTCTTGAAACTTAAATTCCACCATATGGTTGTTTGCGGTGATTGACTATTTCTATCTTTGTATTGTTTAAATACTTACTGTTGATTGTTAATATTTCATATATGAATTGCATAATAATTCCGCTAAATACAAATTCCTGAGTTCTGCCCTCTCTGTGTTTTGGTTGGATTCGTGTAATTCGGTCATCTCGAAATACTAATATTCCAACTACAATAAATTACTACAAATTGGCGTCGCGATGGAACTAAATAACCTGGGAAAATTCCCCATTAATGGTTCTCCGCGGGAGATTGCTGATTACTTTGAATGCTTCGATGCGTGGTGCATTTCAAAGAATGTTCGGGATGACAAAATACCAGCACATTTCATCACTGCTATTGGGCTAGATGCGTATAGCCTAGTGAAGAATCTGGTGTTTCCAGATAAACCCATTTCTCTGCCATATAATAAACTCCGTGAACTTCTGATAGATCACTTCCATATAACTACTTTTGAGACTCGAGAGAGGGCTCAGTTCAACAAACTGGTTCGTGCTCCCAACCAGAAGATTCGAGACTTTATTCTTCAACTCCAAATACAAGCTTCAAAGTGTAACTTTGGAGATCAGCTGCATACTCAACTACGTGATCGTCTAATTGCTGGAATCAATATTCCTAAGTTAGAGAAAGAGTTAATTCAGATTCCTTCTTGTACCTTTCAAACTGCTAAAGATTTATGTATTACATATGAAGATGTCAATAATGAATACTCTGCTCCCACTACGTCAGTATCTGATGTCATGCTTTCTAAAGTCGAAAATACAAGTGGTCATGGAAAGCAATCCAAACTGCCGTCCACAGGTAATAGAATGCAGCGAGAGATCAAAAACATTAAACCGTGTTTATCCTGTGGAAAGTTACATCTACGAAGCACTTGCCGTTTTCGGGGTGCTAAGTGTCACAAATGTGGTAAAGTTGGACACATCAAGACTGTTTGCAGAAGTTCGAATACTTATGTTACTCAGAATCCTGATAATTCTTCCAATTTATCTGGTAAAATGCAGTCGATGTCTCTTTCAACTTTTCCCAATACTCAATCTCATCTAATGAGAACCTTCACTACAAGTTCAGGCAAGTCCCATTGTTTTATAATTGATACTGGGAGTACTGAATCTATAATTTCTAAGAAAGATTTACAATCGATTTGTAAGAATGTCCAGATAGACCCTACTACTAGTTCAATTACAGGCATAACTGGTCATAAATTACCTCTTATCGGTGCTACTAACATTTCTTTGAAATCAGACAGTGGTAATTTTGTAAATATTCCCTTTCTTGTTAGTGAATATGGTCCATCTTTATTGGGATTAAAAGCCCTTAGATTGTTAAATGTCGAAATCTCACTTTGTACTGAGTTGTTTGATGAATCTTTGTTCAGAGAATTACTTCTCCAATGTTCAAAGAGTGTAGGTGGTATGAAGATTCAGCCCATCCATCTTGAAATAGAGGGTGATCCTATCTTCCTGAAACGCCGATTAATTCCATATGGATTGCGAGATGCAGTTAAGAAAGAGTTAGACAAGTTGGTTGAGCAAGGCATACTTATGCCAGTTGAGTCTTCAAATTGGGCTACTCCTATTGTTACGCCACTAAAGGCTGATGGAAAAACACCTAGAATTTGTGGTGACTACCGCCTTACACTCAATAGTCGTCTACTACAGCAAAGTTGCACTACTCTAGAAACTGAAGACATTCTCTACAAGCTACATGGCTCAAGATACTTTTCCAAAATAGATCTAAAAGATGCCTATTTGCAAATTCCTCTTGATGAGGCGTCTAGTGCATTAACAACCATTAATACTCCATTTGGATTGTTCAAGTATAAGTTCTTGCCTTTTGGTTTAAAGGTTTCACCTGCAATATTTCAAAATGTAATAAATCAGATGATAGATGGATTAGATGGTGTTGAGTCATACCAAGACGACATTATAGTTCATGGTCCTAATATCGAATTGCATAATGAACGTCTTTTAAAACTGTTCAGGCGTTTATGTGAGAATAATGTTCTTGTTAATCCATCTAAATGTCATTTCACTTTGTCGTCTGTATCATGCTTGGGATACACAGTAGACTCCGAAGGTTTCAGACCTGATGCTAGTCGTTTGGCACCTCTAATTCAAGCACCGTCACCTAATAATATGTCGTCGTTGAGATCATGGATAGGTACTCTTCAGTTTTACTCCAGATTCATTCCCAACTTCACTCAACGGTTATCTCCACTTTTTGAGATTGTCTCCAGTAAACAGTTTAAGTGGGAACAACAACATGAGAATATCTTGCGAAAAACTTTGGAGTTTCTTAATAAACAAGCTTTCTTAAGACCTTTTTCATCGAAAGATAAGTCTGTTCTCACTACAGATGCTTCTCCTATGGGTATAGCTGCAGTACTTGAGCAAAATGGACAACCTGTTATTTGTATTTCAAGACGTCTAAGTAAGAGTGAACAAGGGTACTCACAAACCCAGAAAGAAGCTTTAGCAGTTGTATGGGCAATAAGACGCTTGCACAAGTATCTCTTTGGTACTAAGTTTCACATAGTTACTGATCATCAAGCTTTGAAATTCATTTACAATCCAGAAAAATCTTTGAATAAATCATCTGCTGCTATGGTTCAAAGATGGAGTTTAGAACTAAGTGCATATGATTACACTATTGAACATAGATCGGCAAAGGATATACCTCATGCAGACTTCTTATCTCGTTATTCATTATTTGAAAATGCTGCTAATGATACTGATTGCTTATTAGTCCAGCCGTTACCGGTGGATCGAGTTCGACTTATAAATGATACTCGGAAATATTACGGATGCGTTATAAATGCAACAAAAAGAGGTTGGAATGTTCAGTGTAAGCGAAGATTTCCAGACTTTTATAAGCGAAGAGATGAGATTTCAGTCCATCCTGAAGGATTTCTATGTCTGAATGACAGAATTATTATTCCTCCAACATTAAGATCTGCGATTTTGGATGATCTACATTCTGCTCATCTAGGAGCTGATAAGATGAAATCATTAGCACGCCTAACATGCTGGTGGCCGGAAATTGATGCTGACATTAACAAAAGATCAAAGAGCTGTTCTAGCTGTTTACATAAAATGTCCTATGGGAAGTCATCGTGGACACCGTGGCCTGCATCTTGTGAGGTTTGGCAGCGTATTCATGCAGATTACTGTGGTCCATTCTTAAATTCATATTATGCTTTAGTTATTGTGGATTCTTATTCTAGATGGCCAGAAGTCATCATTACAGATAGTCCTAATGCCAAATTCACTCACAGAGCGTTGAGAAAGATTTTTAGTCGAGAAGGAATTCCAGATGTCTTAGTTACTGACAATGGTACTCATTTTACGGAGAAGAACTTCAATGATTGGCTCAAACATATAGGTTGTCGTCATTTGTACACAGCACCACGTCATCCTCAGTCAAACGGGTTGGCAGAAAATTTTGTACGAACATTAAAGAGTGCTATAGCATCAATGAGTCCTCAAAATTTTGATGAGCTAGAGAGATGTGTGGATAACTTCTTACTTCAATATCGCAATGCGGAGCATACAAGTACCTGTGAAAGTCCTGCAAAACTATTCAAATCCCGAATTCTCAGAAAGCATCTGATGTCCACGACTTCTGATGTACATTATTACAGAGGGAATGATTATAGACCTTCTATTGGTATCATACTACAAAGAATGGGAAATCGAATGGTGAAGATATTAGACATCGAAGATAATTCAGTTCATAACAGACACTTGGATCAAGTGAGAATAAATGAGGTAGGTCGTTCCGATTATGATTATAATGACTCCGCTACTA